AAATTTGAGTTCTTTTCTTAATGAATTAGGGTTTGAAAAATGCACTAGCTGCTGGTGCTGATAAGGATGAGGAAGATTCAGAGGGAAGGACAGCATTGCATTTTGCATGTGGGTATGGTGAGGTATGATAATATCTCGAACCTCTTTATTTTGGGAGCTGTAATGATGAAGAGGCAGCTAATAAGTAGATAGAATATTGTGATTTTTGGTTTGTTTGATTAAGCTGCTTAAGAAATATCAAAGTTTTTCTTTTTTTATGTTTTTTGGACTAGGAAAGCATTTTTCTAAGAAATATTTTAAAGTTAATCCCGGAAGGTGTAGGTAGACATTCAATTCTAGCAGCATATTTAGCTGGCTAAATAGGAGGGGATGAACCTGAAAGGAACAGCTATTACATCTGTGACAGTATTCCTTTGTCTGGTTCACTGTGATCCTTGTCCACTCCTCTGTGTTGAACTGGTTTGATCTCCCAAAGAGTAGGTTTTGAAGAAGTATGAAAGGGGTTATTCCTTTTGTTTGCTCCTTCACAGATTCTGATCTCCGGAGGAAATCTATTGATTTAGAAAAAATTACGTGAAGAACAATAAGACTAGGAAATAGATTGATTGGGCAAGGATCTCTCTTGCTTTTATGACTGTTCGCACTTTACTGACCAAAATGGAAGAGCAGGTTTTCTGCCTGGGAGATTTGTGCAAATCTGCTTTCTAAAGGTGATAATCTCACGCTTGGAAATCTCCTATTTCGAATTTCCAGAGTCCCTCCCTTTTCTGTACTTTTGCTATTTATATGAGTATTTTGCAGTCATAGTTTTGGATAGGCAATTGATTCTTGAATGTTAAAGGTAAAGGATAATCGAGTTATTATCCTGGAGGGATAGATGCAAACAGGTTGCCGGAGGCTTTTGCTTGCAATGGTTAAAGTTTATGATCCAAGTCTAGATGAAAGGAATGTGGTGGTTGCTGAGCCTTGTTTTGTTATCCATTAAAGATGGTTTCCAGGCTCAGTAACTTGTCATTTTGGGGATTGTGGCAACTTAGTTATATCATGATATGAGTTTCCTGTCAAAGCATTGTGGGGCAAATATGGGGACCAGAGTTAGAATCTTTGAAAACTTCTTCCTTCTACTATAGGTTGTCAGATTCTTTCTCAGGAGAAGTTCATTCTATTAGAAAGGATTTCTGTCACGTCAGATTTAGTCTTCATCCCTATGAAGTGTTAGTTTATTGTGGAAATCCTGTCAACCTATTCCATGTTTGGATGATTTGTGTATGGAATATATCCACCTAGGCATTTGATTGTTGCTTTACCAGTCTCTGGTAAAGTGAATAAACTATTTAGAAATTTATTCATGAACAAGCTCAAAGTTGCATGTTCTGTTTAGGTGATCTGATACAGTTCAAGCCCATCTCTTGTTTTTTCGTGGGTGGTGTCTATTATCATCTGGGTTGCTTTCTTTTCCATTATACTAGAGATCACTGATTTAGAATTCCATGTATTTTGCCTAAAGCACACACAATTTCTGAT